AGTATAGTATTAAAACTAGTAACTCATAGAAGCAATATTGTTATTAGTTTATTACTAGCAATAAAGTATATAAAATTATTACCAATTACCCAGTCATAGTATAAAAAAATAATACAGTAAAATCTCTATTAGTGAGTGCCTCTCTATAGTGAAAACCTCGTTATTATTAGTGTTTTTTACAAGTCCGGAAAGGCAATTTTTGCTGAAAATGGACCTTCTGAAGGCGAACATCTGGTTATTAGGAGCATTTTTCAATGGTCTCGATCGTGCTCACTTTAGAGAGACTTCCTAGTAGTAATGTAGCAACCTTATTATTGATTTCCGCATGTTGTAAATAAAACAATAAAACATATTTGAGATTTCCTTTTATTGATAAAAAAAATTCGGAGTTTCTCGGAGTTGGAATCGGAGTCAAAAAATAAAAATTTTCGGAGTCGGAGTCGGGGTCGGAGCTGTAAAGAAGATATTTTTCGGAGTCGGAGTCGGGTTTCGGAATAAAAAAACCTGATTCCGCAGATCCCTACTATACACAACTGATTCACCTTTTTGGCTTAAATATAAGTTTACAGGACTTCTGTAGGGTGTGGGTGTGGGTATAGCGGAAAACAATACTCACACCCACACCCATTCTCAATCTGAACTGACATAGATATGGAATTAAAGATGGCATTTATGAAGGTCAACCGTTCTCTGTCACTAGAACATCTCCTGTTGACACCGGTCTATTCGTTTTATATCATGTCTATAAAGCCGGTACTGATGGATTTCAGATGCTATTTGAAAGTGATACTGTCAATGCTTTTATTGCTCTTCGTCAAGCTTTTCAATACATTGAAAGTCGTGATTGGACTATGATTCGATTATACTGACTTTTGCGACATAAATTGCTGAATGTAAAAAATCATGACCGGGAATATGATTTACAAAATACATTGACCAAAATTGTTCTCGATTTTGTGAAGCGAATGCAAGAATTTAATATTAACTCTGAATGTACATGTATTGCATGTTCAGAACGAATACATAAACATTCAAGTGTCGATATAACACTACCATAAGTTTTTGAATATATAAAAGTGCATACTATGGAATGTCATTAAGATAAGGCTTGGAATTCGGATTTTAATAATTTCGTGACCGAAAATGTATAAGTTCAAAAAACAATAGCTTCTAGAAGCAAAAGACAACTAAAAATAAATGTGTGCTATGACGACGGAAGAACATGAATAACTTTGTTTACCTTATAAATACATGAGACAACCACAGGAACCACATTAAAAACTTAATTATTCGATTTGTCAAAGTCTTGTGAGAATCTAGTCTTTTGTAAAAATACTTGAGAAGCTTCAAATCTTTGTTATATAATTTGATATTTTCCATAGATCCGATATATTGAACCATTAGAAACTCTTCTTGTATAACAACTTCGTTTTAATTTTTCCTTTTCAATTATGGAACTTATTACTATCAACATTTCCGAAATCTATTTAGTAAAATCAACAAGCAATTTCCAAATTATATTGAATCTTTCAGAAATGATTCTATAGTTTCTTGTGGTGCTAATCTTGGTCCTGACAAGCCTCACAACTATCCTGAGGATTAGACAATGCACAACTTTGGAACACACCAGCCTAAGCTTCCTTCCAAAACAAGGAAGAAAGTCCCAACACATTGAGCAACACCGCTATTTTTCATCCCGTCTTTATTAGAATATTGTACTCTTCGACAGTGAATGAACTTTCCAATACAACTGAATAGATTAGAAAGTTAACACATTTCGTAGAGCGAATTCGGACAAGGTTTACATCCGAGATCTGGTGCTGGGTCTAGTATTTGGGGCATAACCCCCTGTTTTTGCCCGATAACATCCCTGGAAAGTAGACCCTTCGATAGAGCATTAAATTCTGCATCTAACACAAGCTCTTAGAGAGTTAACACAGGTAAGAAAGCGAATCGGGACAAGAAATACTCGAATCTGGTGCTAACTTTACTTACGTAATATGTTCTTGTTTTAGAAAAATTTCATAATGTGTAATCCATATGAATACCTATTGCATTAATTATGTGTATAAGGTAATGAGGCATTCTTTGCTTTTGTATAGGCTACCTAAAGAATTTTTTTTCGCAAAGTATATATACTACAAAAAGATCACCTATGTGGTACACGGCTACTTTTTTAATAAACAATTATATTTTCCATTAGAATATTGTTTCCTAGTAGTTGTTTCTAAAATCCTTTTTTTAATTAAAGGAGATCTTCTAATATTTCGAATACTTTAACTAATACTGAACAAGATATAATTGTCAATTAGGATAAATAAATTAAACGATAAGAAAACTAATCTTGAGTACTACTTCAACTATCCGTATTATTTAAATATATATGTTCCAATCTGATTCAAATATCTATTGATTTACTTTGATTAAAACTCTATAAAATGATAAATATGATCTTTAAGTTTTCAATGTTAAAACTTTTATTTATGTCATATATTTTTTGTTTTCTTGAATCAGATTTGTGAAATTAGTTCCGATTGAATAATTTCTATTACTGTATAGTTACTCAAAAAAAATGAATATTGAGTTTGAATAACATATATCATATCATATATTCAATTATAACAAAAAATTAGTTGGTATAAATCATTATGTTTCTTTATTTTATAATAAAAATTATATTGATCTTCAAGTATTAAATTGATCTGCTTCAACAATAGCAATTAAATATAAACAAACAGAAAAAAAAATAATTATAGATATTTTACGAAATGAATTCGAATCATAAACGGTTTGATGAATATCTTCTATGTTATAAGTTTATTTAGTTATTGAATATGTCTTAAAATAAATCGTAAGACCATTAAGTATCATACATATATATAAACCACACTATAACAAAAACAAGTCATCTTATTTTTCTTATACATATAATACTTAGATATATGAAACAAACAAACACCTTCCTATTAGCTAAGCTCGTAGCATAGATTATTCTATATAGTTACAATGGAACATTCCCAAGTGATTCGAATCGTTTGGATTCATACGAATCAAATAAGTGAAAGGGTTCGTGCCATTGCTATTGTGTATTGTAACTGAGAGGTAACCTTTTCCACAGAGACTTGTAATACAAACTTCTCTAAGCTTGTTCAAACAAAAAACTTGTAAAGAAATATGTTTCAGTTACATTATAGAAAATAGAAACCATTACCGAAACGTCATTTGACATATACATATAATGAGCTTTACATAGTAGCAAAAGTTGAATCGCGACGGTGCGAACCACTTGGGAATATTCCCTTGTAAAAAAAAAAGAATGTTAACACGTTCATCTTTTTTTCATCGTTGTTGTAGATTCACATAATACTGCTACAAGTAGATAGTGTCAAATAAATTCTTTAACATACTGTCTTCATTATTTTTGTACATTAATTTATTCTGGGCAAAGAGAACTTTCGTTATCTTTTTTTACAGTTTATTTTTCTTTTTTTCTTCCTACTTTCGCAAGGTTATCAAACAACAAATTATCGAAAATTGCCTTCGTATGAAGTTAGAAGTCAGAAAAAATAAACGATGTCACATGGAAATAACATACTGTATCAATCAAAAGCACTCGATAACTATTCATGCCTATCATTTTTTCAATTTTTCGAACACAGATGAAAAAAAACCATTGCATGCGTGTCGTCTGAAATTATGTATAAAAATACTGTCAATGCAAAATAGTCGACACTCTTCGGTTTGAAAAAAACACAATTATACTAGCAGCTAGTTTTCAACAGTCGATTCGTCTATATCACTGGGTAAGTGTTAATACCCCTGGATTTGAAAACAGATGAATTTTCATAGAGTGATATTTGATTGCACAACATGAGTGTTTGAGTTTTCCACTAACATGTTATAGTTTTCTTCGTGCTACGATGTTATATGGTCTTTTTGCATACATAAATACACATATCTTCTCTTTAGAGAAAATGTCAAACCCTGAACCTCCTATTATCATTAAGCGGCAGAACGTAATAGACCATGGACATGATGGTTCTTTACAAGTAATTGATCAGTCCGGAAACCGACACTTAATCTCGAGTCGATTTGGCTGGTCATCACATAATTGTTCATGTAGAGGGCGCAAAACAGGTCTAGTCTTATACCCGTATGATACGAGATATAAAAACGTTGTATTGCTTGTTTGTGAAAAATGTTATGAATATCAACCATATAATGATACACAGCATAATCAATTACTGAATTGGTATAATAGGCTTTATTGCGGTACAAAAGAGTATCGTTTTGTATCTGGATTCTACATGAAAGACGATGGTACACTAGGATACAATAGTATGTCACAAAATGCAGTTGGTCCTTATTCTGATGGCACTAAAGAAATGGGTTGGATTGAGCGAGATGCTGTTGAAAAGGTTGTTCATGGAAAACTTGACAACTACACAGTATAAACAATACTGTCATACATCACTATCATCATGACTTTACCATTTATACTTTTTAATGAGTTTTATTCTCAATAAATTAGATTACTAGAGATTATGTTTTCTGAGAAAATGAAACTTTAGACACCGTCACGAATGGTGTAACTTTTCGATATTGATCGATTTTACATGTGTTCTGAAGAAGAGATGAGGGTGTGGGGTGTGGGTGTGGGTGTGGGTGTGGGTGTGGGTGCGTGGTGTGGGTGTGGGGTGTAGGTGTGAGTGTGGGTGTGGGAGGGTTTGGCCCATAATAAAACAATCCCACACCCACCCACACCCACACCCACACCGACCCACACTCACACCGACCCACACCCACACCCTATCAGGATATGTGTAAATCTCAAAATCGAGTTTTTTTCGAAAAATTGACTTTTCTGAGGGGTCCCTTAACACAAGAAGAGAGGTACATGTTCTTTGATGTAGGTTCTTGCATAGAGAATTCAAGAGTTGTGTGGGACTTTCGATCGTCCGTACAAAACATGAGTAGCATTTCAATACTGATGTACTTTTTTATTTGGTTAAATTAAAGCGTCGAACACGATAACTATCCACATTGACGACATACAGATTACCATAGCGATCGAAAGATAAACCATCGGCTCCTTTCCATTGTCCTGATTTACCATCAATAACAACACTGCCCTGTTTAGCTCCTTCAGGCCAACACATAATTCGATTATTGCTATCGTCAGCCACATAAAGATTACCTGATTGATCAACAACAATACCTCGTGGATTTTGAAGTTGTTCGCGACTACTTCCTAATCCATAACCACCAGCAACAACGATACCTGTTTTAGCATTTTTTTTCCATTTCATCACACGATCATTGTAAAGGTCAGTGACGTACACTGAATGGCCTCGATCAACAAATACGAAGGATGGCCGGTTGAGTTGATCGAGATTGTTTCCCCTTCCATTGCCACCCGCAACTACTGTTCCTTCAGAATCTCCTCTTTCATATCGTCTCACCGCACTTTCATCGAAGAGACTAACATAGAGAGAGCCACTTTCATCCATGGTCAAACCCCAACAATCAACGTTCGATAAAATCGTAGTTCTATTTGTACCATTTTGCCGAGGCCATCGAACCACTCTCTTATTACGACGGTCGCAGATGATGAGACTATCTGTCTCTTTGTCAACAATCACATCTGTTGGATATTGTAACTGATGAGTTTCATTTCCTTCTCCATTTCCTCCCGCAATCACTTGACCAATTGTTGCATGCGCTTTCCATTTTATGATACGATGATTAAGTTCATCAGCAATGTAAAGGTTTTCTTCATCATCCACAAATAAACCTTCTGGACTTTTGAATTGATTCGTTCCATTACCTTCTCCATATCCTCCAGCAACAATAACACCATGTTGTTCCCATTGAGCATCCTCTGGAATGTCAATAGAACTGCCACGCAATGGTGTCCATACTATTCGAAACAGAAATCAAACAGACAGAAGCAAACACAAAAGAGTGTACTTTGCTTTTATTTTCACAAACAAATGAAAAAAGATTTTTTAAATTCAAAGAAGTCAAAGACGTAAACAGCGCGACGAAAAAAACTTTAAGTTCTTTCTTTTTGCTTGTTATTAATTTTTTTCATTGCACCTTAGGAGGCAAAGAAAATATTTGCTTTCGTTGCTTTCTGCTGAAAAGGAAATGGATTTTCTCTTAGAAACAAATTGGAGAACAAAGAAAATTTAGTAAAGAGAAAGAAATTCATTTTTCTTCCATCTTCAATGAACAAAGAGCCCGATAGATACTAGTATCATTTAAAATGAAAGGTGATTAAAAGAGTGAACGCGTGAGAATGAAAATGCGAAAAGATGAAGACAAAGAGATATAAAACGAACTTGTTTTTCTTGTATTTCAACGAGTGATTTTCATCGAATAAGTCTTAGAGAAAAGGAAAGGGCATGTTATATTATCGGAGGAGAAAAAGAAAATAAATTGCATACCATATTTTTATTTCACTCGCTGATATTCCTTCAGATAAGACAAGAAAAAGAAAAAGATTAAACTCGAATATTAAGCCTTCCAACTTTGTAGAACTCAAAGAAAAGTTTCAAGTATGGTGTAGAAATAAATTCTATTATTTTGTTAACATGTTTAAAAAGAATTTGCGAGGAAAACTTTGAATTTAATTCATAGTATTGATTTATTTAATTGAGTGCGAAGATAAATGGGAAGGAAAATTTTCGCTAACACTTGAAATGTAGACCTTCTACTTACATGGCTGTTGAGTAGCAGTAGTTGCTGTGGTCGTCGTTGTGGTTGATGGCGTTGTTGTGATAGTAGCGTTACCTATTGTTCATAAGCATAGAATATATATATATATATATATATATATATAAGCACGGCGAACAATTTTACAGTTCATATTAGAGCCAAATATGGTCAAAATGATAATGAACAATATCTTTGGTTTCTCACAACTAACAGGCAATTTTAGGGCTTTTAGACACTGAGGAAAATGTGATTTTCAAAAACAAACTTTTCAGTAGAAGGTTGCGATATTGATAAGTGAGCGAGAAATTTTGGGGTTACTCATTATTTTGGTTTCAATACTACCAATGATCTCGGTAATTTTCGTACTTTCATGTAATACATCCAAAAGTGAGCATCCTTCCAATAAACTCTGCGATAGCAATTTCTTGCAAGTTCAAGGCATATTAACTGGCTTCTTCAGAGACCTGGGCTTCATTTCAATATTCTCACAGGTAGTGAATCGTCGAAAAGAGTTGAAGATTCACTTACTTGCTCTGGATGGGCATAAATTCCGATTGAAACTTGGTACTGGATAGCAAATAGGTTTATTTTGACATCGAGGATGATGAACACATCTGTGTTCTGGATTGTAACAAGAGTTGTCCATAGGTTCGCATGCAACTAATTCCGAACAGTCGATAAATCGATCGAGACAAATACCTACGTTAATGGCGCCAGCATCATAAAAGCAGGCACATGCGCTATTTGTTGAACATCGATCATACTGTGATATTCCACGACAGTATTAAGATTTGACTCGAATTATCGATAGACTAAATAGAAGGTAGAATACAATACACAAAATGAGAAAAATCAAATCTTTCACAGGCTTAAAAGTAAAAGAAAACATTCGATCTTCGACGGTTACGAAAATGAAAAAATAGCAAAATTACCTCAATAGAATGATTAAAAGTGAATGAAATACTATTGAAACCATCGCTTCTGTTAAAATGAAATAGAATGCCAACGATATTTGCTTTTATGTATGATGCTTAGATTAGAATATTTCAATTTATAGAAATTAAATATTAGTACAAAGCTTAGTTAAATGCTTTATTTTTTTCGCTACAGAAAAATAATCCTTAACAAAAAATCATACGAAAAAATGATTGGTCATATATGATGCAAAATAAATTCACTAAGAAAAAAGTAGTAGTATAATGCGTTACATTGCTATTTTGATAGTTTATATGTGAATCACATTCAAAAAGTTTGTATTAGTTAGTATTGGCACTTCGTACTTTTCATCATCATAATATTCAATTTCTTATTGAAAACGAATCAGTTTCAAGCGTAACTTTATTGTCGGCTTTTCTTTAATATGTCCATTAATTTGAAATCGATATATGACCATATTCATTATTTTCTTTTTATAAAGGCTTATTAAATTCGAAAAAATCGATGAGAAAATACACGAACTTGTTCGACTCAATTGGGCGTGAATGTCGTTGTTTGCTAGTAAAAGAAAACGAATATTCACATTCGTTTCCATTTATACTTCATACAAAAGAAAATTGCAGAAGAAGATAGTGAACGAGAGCTCATCATCAAAATGACAGATGATTAGGCGACAAGTATCACAACCTTTTTATTACCACGCTGAGACAAGGGTAGCTATTGAATGTGGAGTAGTGAAAGGAGCACTCATAAAATAATTAACGGCTCAAAAGATTAAAACTACGATAAATCTACAAATAAGAAGTCACATGCATAGAAAAAAGTGGAAAACTGAAAAACGACTCCAAAAGAAGATACAAGAAATAAAGTTTACAGTAATTATATTGTATTCAGATGAATATAATGAAAGAGAAAATAGAACAAAATATAGAAAAAAATACAGAATGAAACTCTTTACGATACGAAACAATAAAGCGACAAAAAAAATAAACGAGAAACGCATGAACCAAATGACACCACACAATAACAAGCGCATTTACAGAAAAAAACAATTACTACACAATAACAGAAACACTTAACTAATGAAATTAACTGAGTTAAAACGTTACAAATAATCAAAAGGCGAAAAACGTTGTAATTAAACATTAAACTAGTGAAACTAAAATTGTGGATTACACTTCAACATATGTTACTCGAAAGATACATAGACATAGAATGGCACTTTAAAAAGAGAGAGGAAATATACAAGATTTGAAAGAACACACGTTATTCATAGCGAAACTTGCAGATACATCGTCGATAGATGTATAAACGTGCAACAGCGAGAACTAAAATAACGGAAACAGATCGACGAACTATTTGAACATGAAGTACAATGTGAATTAAATTTAAAAAGATAGAAGATAATAGATTGTATAGAAGTGGAACAGGATATAAAACGAAAAGAAGATTGTTGAACAAACTACATGAACAAGTAACTGTAACGCGAACTAATGTGAACCTGATAATAAATGATAGATGTTTAAATATGTGTTGGAAATAAAATGAAACATGATAAAAGAACTATACAGATATGAACTATAATGCGAACTAAGCTTAAAGGAATAGTAGATGATAGATATGAAGATATGCACAAAAAAAACTAAGATAATAGAAGACAAAACTAATGGAATAAATGTGAAATGACATTATGAGCTAGAATTGAAGATAAACGAGATGATATCGAGAAAGGCGAACATGTAACATGTCTAAGGGCGATAGATGTATAACAGTACAAAGCTGGAAATCTAGGTGTGGGTGTGGGTGTTGGTGTAGGTGAGTGTGTGTACTCTTCATTCACACCCACACCCACACCTACATCCACGCCTCACACCCACACCCACGTCCCACACCTACACTTACACCCACACCCATACCTATGATTCAATTACGTCAAATTATGTTTATTTTGTTTCAGTTTGCATCATTTATCATTCAGATAAGATAATGAAAACAATAGTTTGCGAAGGCGACATGATGCTAAATGACTGTCCTTTAACAGTTAAAGCTGTTGATCCACTAACATCGTGCGAATGGATACCAGTTAGATTGATGGAAATGTCAGTTATACCCATCGGAATAATATGTAACTGACGTTCATTATCATAAAGACCACCATTGTCAGGATCCATACTATAAGGACCAAGGGATGAGAGTCCGTTTCCGGTCTGACCTCCATGGTTGTGCCTGGAATCAACATAGGTATGTGTATGAACGCCATTATTCAATATTTGCAAGCTTCCTTTGTCATGTTGATGAGCAGATAATTCACCAACAGTAAGAACATGTTGCACACTCCCTTCATGATTCAGGCCAGCACTCTGACCTTGCCTCAGATCAAGACCTAACATAAATCTCCCACGAAAGTCTGGCGAACCAAACGTTTTCACATGATCTCCAACTCCGTAAAGTGTGCTAATGATAGAAAATAATTTCGAATAAGTTGATCGAGATATATTTGAACCATCGCATATTAACCATTTTGATGGCAATTCTAACCCTGCATACGGTATAAACCGTACCTACTGGTAAGAAGCTCATTGAAAAGTCAGTTCGAAATGGTTTATAAAATGGCAAAGTTAGAAGAAAAATGAATTGTACGTATTTCGCATAATAATCCATGTTATCTATAATGAAAAATGGAAAAGGTTTCGATGCAATCTTGAGGGTGTAGGTGTGGGTGTGAATGAGAGGAACAATAATATTCACACTCACACCCTCCCACCCCCCACCCCAATACATGCTACGATCGGTTGTCTATGATTATTTGAAAAATCCAATTTTGGTCATTTTTTGCGATTTGTGTTAATGGGAAAACCTTATGATAGTAGTTCTAAATAGCAAACATCTATATACAAAAACATGACCAAATTTAAGCGAAATATTATTAACATAAAATACATTCTCAATTCGCTAGTATAATTTGAAAAATACTTTTTTTGATGGATAAAAAAATTCACGCGAGGTGGATATGTCACCAGTTACATTATATTCAAACAAAAGTGGATAAAAATGTTGCTGTTTTTCTCAGTGAAATGATCTTTTTGGTTAAATATTATGAAAAGCGCATTATTGATTTCATAATTGGCACTAATTCATTAATATCTTCTGGTGATAATGTTCGCATTATATCATTTTCGATTTCTTCATGAACTGTTTGCCATGAGATGACATGAACAATGAGTTCACTAAATAACTTAATTGCTTTTTCATAGCCATGTCTTGTTTCCATATATTTCCACAATAGTTCTGTGTAATAATTTTGTACGCGATATACAGACATTTTATCATTGAGTATTGGTTCATTATGATTACTAGTTATTGAAAAACCTTTTGTAAGAATAAGTATAATAACTATTAATTCAATGATTTTTCGATCATATTTGATTATATGTAAAAATGAAGCAAAGATCTTTTTTACTTGCATACGAATATTATAATCATGAAGTATTGGAAAGAATTGTGTATTCAATGGTACATCAGAATCACTTTCAATGAGTTGATTAGTTTCTATATTATATGAAAGTGCATAGTTTATACCAAGAATCTTCGGAAGATTATATTTAATTAACGTAACTTTATCATCAACATTTAATTGATTAAATTCAGGTATTTGTTTGAGGAATGATAAAAGTCGCATGGCGGATACTGAATAACTATTCACAACTTGTAAAAAAGTTCTTGCATGCATTGATGGATTCCATGGAAGACCATTACGAGCCGCTAAGATACAAACATAGTAAGATGAAAAGAAAAAAGATCAACAAAAATACACGCTCACCAAACTCGATACGATTTTGATAAAAAAGTGATATAGTTTCTATACGTTGTAAATCTTCCCAACTGAGTAATATCTGCTGTGGTTGAGAGGATAAAAGATTGGTAAAATCTGTGAGAAGAATATTTGTGTCTATCGATGTTAGTAACTGAGGATAATATAAGAGTAAATAAATGAAATCATGTTTTTTTTTTTATAAAATATCCTTACATTGTCTGAAGATGTGGATGATGACAATTGAAATTGTTCATCATTTGTTTTAGAATTTGAGTTCAATGTTAAATTTCTATTTTCTTCTAGTCGACAACGTTTTGCCGCTTTTTGTTCATTCTAGAAATTAGTTTTATGGAAGATTCTTCTTTTGTTTTATTGCAGTGCGGGAGTTAAAACTATTTTTCAAAAAGTTGATCAGTTATAACTCAAAAGTTATAACTACCCTAGTTTTAACTCCCAGTGTTTTATTGATACCGTCAAAAGTCGATCACATCGCATTCCACTATTAAAACACTTGGCTAAACGACAGGCCAAACAATTACGACGTGGTTCAAATGTTATTTTACAATCACCTTGGTTATTACACGAGAAAGTAGCCTAGATAGAAAAAGCATTATCATCTCAATGATCATTATAAACATAGAAAACAGATGAATTGTACGTCATCTGTGCTGTTATGATTTGAAGTATACAATGAAAAGCAACAGATAGATTCTCTCTTCATGTTTCTATCAAGAATGAAAACAAAATCAGTTTGTGGACAACATTCTCATCGAATACTCTTCAAGTATCTCCCATTTGAGAACAATTTCGAGTCTATTGATTTTCATTCTTCTATATGTAGGTTTTTTAAACTTAACTTGTAAAACATAATTCGACTGGTTTTTGAGCATCGAATCGAAAAAAGTTTTTATATTTCTCAGAATAAAAAACGTCTGTGGAAATTTCAAATATTAATTAATTCTTAATGTTCATTTTGTATTTCTAAAAAGTCATAAATTCGAAGAGATTGACAACTCTAAAAAAAATGTGTACATATACAAATCAATTATTTCGTTGGAATATTCAAGTCCAAATTGTATTTCTATTATTATCAAATAATCAATGAATTTATGCTAACATTAATTTTTGTTTTTTTTTTGACAAAAAGCATATTCACTTCGATCAATCGAACTTGCGTCAAATCTATGAGAGATAATGGAAATTTCATTCAGGTTTACGACGAAGAAGAAATAGATTTAATTCGAACAATTTCCTTTTAATCTAAACAGCACAAATATGACGTAATTTTTTTCGAAACTTACAGGATCTTTTCGAGCATTACGACGAAAGAAAGCCTTACAACCGTCACATGTAATTGCACCAAAATTGTATCCATTTGCTGATGATCCACAAACGACACAAGTCAAAGACCCATGGTTAGGTTTATTCTTCTTATGTGATAATTGTATCTCGTCCTGAAAACAATAAATTCTTTTTTCTCTACCAGAATAATCTAAAACTAACCTGTTTATCAGATCTTTCACTATTGTTACCTTCGGACGGAAGAATAATTTGTTTTAATAATGATACATTGTTGCTTTTTTCAATTTGATCAATGATACTTTCATCGGCCATAATAATCATTATTTGTTGTCGTTTGGCACCTATTCTTAGCGATACGTTGGATGACATGATTCAGAAAATTTATTTTGTTTTTCTAAAACGATATAATTTCCAATAAATTAAGATTTTCTTAAGATAGAAAAATCTTCTTAATTAAACAGAATCTGATAGAAAGTACAAAATCTAAAAAATATAAGAAATAATATACTTAATGCGACATTGAGTTTTATACAATATAAAAGCTGAATAGAACATATCTAAAACGCTTCATTCCAAATGATCAACATAAAGATGAATTCGGTCACTTAAAAATATAGAAAACGTGACAAAACTATACTGCAGTTCAACATAAGGGCACATGTATCATTCTGTTTGTTATAACTCACAAAAGACAATGGATGAAGTACAGTTACAATTGTGAACCTTCTTTTCAATCAGAACCATGAGAAAAATGTCAGATGAAGTGTGTAATATATTCAGATGTTGTTGTTAATCATTGCACTGATGAATCCACAAATTCAATAGAATTGAAGCGCTTGTAATAATAAATAAATACCATAGAAGTGAATCTGAAACCAAGAAAAATAATAATGAAAAGTAGGCAAGAATATTGCTAAAAAAAAGAATTGTTTTTTGAATCTCAACAATAGTTATTGCGCACATCTAGATGAGTTTTTTTTATAGAAAATAACTCATTTTTTAACATTTTCTCTAATCATCTCTTGTCATTATTTCTAGCTTTTTGAAATTTTTTTTTGTTTGTACAAGTTTTGAAGAATTGTTTCAAGGAAAAAAAGTAATGGAAACAGGTTTAACAAATTCATTCTAATCGATTATCCTAAACAAACTTTTATAGATTATTTATCCATCTTCTTCGATGTATCTTCTCTTCTAAGATCTGTTCATCTACTTTCACTTTTTCATCATCATATCTATCTTCCTTACACATCATCAGTTATTTCTTGTATAGTTAAATAAAGCATTTTTTAGCACCGAATAAACATATGTTTATTCTGATTCAACCTTTTCTTTTTTTTCTGATGATTTGTATGAAGGAAAAGTTAAAATAAGCTGATACTTATGTACCAAAAACATAATGGATACTAAAATTGACCGACAAGTAAACGACATTTATTCCGTATCTAATCTTTTCATTTTATATTAAATAAATAACTAGAATAAGAGTTTTTGCCATTCTATGATCTAATGACAATTGCACTACTTTTTCTTTGTTTCCTTCGCAATATAAAATTAAATAAAAAAAAAAGAATTGACTAAATCTGTTTTTTGATTAATTTTCGCGGTTACTATAAGCGTTGTTTATCATTTAGATAATTCAATGTTTGTCTGATTGAACTGAGATATCGATTGATCGCGAAGAAAATCAATGTTCTATTATCATTCTAAAAACAAGAAGATCTCCATGTTATCCGATTTTGAGCAAAGTAACACCTTTAAAAAAAATGAAAAGAAAAATATTTCTAAGTCTCACATTTATTTTAGAGTATCATAACGAGTTACGAAGATAGAACCAATACTTTCAGATATTTCTAGGATTTTTGAGACTTCTGTCGACTGGGTGAAAGTATTCAGAAAATCTGATGTTTTCTTTCATTTTCATTAAGGGAGCCCTCTTCCTCAGAAAATCGAATTTTTCCAAAAAATATCGAAATTGAGTTTTTACCATAGGAAGATATAGCGAAGCTTCCTCTTTCAGAATATATATAGGTTTTTGAAAAATGACTCAATTTTCAA